AACGCTCGCCCCCACCCCAGAAGTATGGTGAAGGTATGTAAAAGACACATACATTGTACTTAGAACACAAGATATAGATAGGTTTTTCGAACATATCAACTCGAAGGTTGAAGCAATTCAATTCACTTATGAATTGGAAAATCAGGAAGGGGAGCTCCCAATGTTAGATTACAACGTAAAGAGGAAAGAAGATGGGAAGTTGAACAGTAGTGTTTACAGGAAACCCACACATTCAAACAGATATTTGGACTTCCAGTCATCCCATCCTATGTCAGTAAAAATAGGATTGGTGAAATGACAGAGCACAAAAATTAAGTAGTACCAAAGAAAATCTAAAACAGGAACTGATACACATAAAAGAAGCCTTGAAACTTAATAATTACCCTGATAAATTAGTCAGAAAGTATGTTAGGAAATGTAAAACTAAAATAAACAAAAATAGTAGCAATAGTGATAATAACAATAATAATGATAATGATTATAGTGATAATAATAATAATATCAATGACAACATCAACAATAAGGAATCTAAATCATCAGTAGTAATTCCATACAAGGAAGGAACCTCGGAAGTCTTACGCAGAATTGTTAACAAGGCAGGAATAAAAACGGCGTTCAAACCCACACACTCAATTAGAAACAAGCTTTGTCGGTTAAAGGATCCTGTAGAGTCTTTAAAACAAAACAATTTAGTTTATCTTATACCCTGCTAGAATGATTGTCAGGTCAAATACATAGGTCAAACAAGTAGAACAGGGGCAATCAGACTAGCTGAACATAAAAACTTAGCAAAATCTAGATTGGTTGACCCGAATAAGATAAGAAATCTAGAGAATAGTTCAGCTATAGTACTACATGCAGTCACACACAACCATACAATAGGATGGGATAGGATGACAGTTTTAAAATCCAATGTCACAGGGTATAGGGAGAGATTGATAACAGAAGCTTTGTTTATCGAATCAACTGCAAATACATGTAATAGGAATGATTCATCATCTGTCCCCGATATCTGGAAAATTCTACTACCCATACGACAAATAGGAGAGAACAAAGAAAACTATAAAACTCAAGTGTCAAAGTCGTGTGATCACAATTGATATGATTATGAACAATAAATTTTGTTGGAAACGTCATCCAGTAAATAATACTGTGTGACATACCTAATAAACAAACTAATATGGAATTACTTACTACCACAGTGCTCAAGTTTTACAAATAAATTGAATGCTCTAGCTTGAAGCCCTATGTTTCACTCAGAACACAAGAGAAAAAATAACAGATTCTAAATGTATTATAGAATTAATAGCTAGTAGGTGCTTTAATCATGGAATACTGTGAATAATAATTAGAGCGACTAAGATACCTATTTATTAATCTTTGTCTGCTTTTTAATTTTCTCTTTTCCCTTATAACCAGTTCGTTAGAACTCAGTTACACTGAACAGATCTTTTCACGTATAGAGCCATAAAACACACTTATCGTATGATACCACCCAGCAGTTATTCATTCTGAAATGCGATTTGGACAGGGTAACCAATAGCTAAAAGCCGATCACTTGAGCTAGTGTCCCATATTTCCATTTCATAACCAGTAGTGGATAATACCTTCTGAAATTATTGAGGATGATGACACTAATGAACACCGTACAGCACGCATAAAGTTTACCCACTACCTCATGCGTGATTATAACTGATTAGACGATTAACAACTGTCGCAGATAAGTACTGGTATTTTCTATCAGGTTTTATTTTCAGTAATTAGACATTCTATCCATTGTACAAGTAGCGGTTGTCGTAGACCAGTATATAACGCTTCGGCGTTTTAGTCTCATTGGGAACACCATAATACCAGGAATGCAGGTATAACTAGTTGATAGGTCCTAGGTAGGACGAATCAAGCATTTTGGAAACCGCTTATAGGTACTGTCAATCCAATAAACTAGTAAATAAACGCTTTTGATTTTGCTAATATTCACTTCAAATTTGTTGTATCCTAGATGGATATCTTTTGACGATAGATACCATTCTTCCTGAGAATGATAGTGCCATTAGTGGGCATTATTATTATTATTTTTAATGCTGTTTGAATCACCTGGTGAGTCCTGCTAGCTGAATAGGGGTCTTGAAATGTGTTTCATTTTGAGGTTGAATAAGTAAACTTTCCTATATATATACATGTATATATATATATGTATATATTTGTGATACAAAAAGACAAGAACAATATACTGTTTTCACCCATCTCTATGTTATATACGCTAGTGAAAGTTTCTATTTGCACATTCGAATTTATAAAGACTGACTGATACATGACAAATAATTTGGTTAGTTAGGAGTATGCAAACGAAGCACTACCTTTGACAGGAAACAGTAGCAAATGTTGTATTCCAAACTATTTAAATGAATTCCTTAGAATGTAAAGGATACATTTTTAACCTTCAAAGTGTAAATAGATAATTTAGAACCAGTCAACATCGATACTCCATCCTAGTTAAGATAGGAATTTGTAAATTTCATTTTTCTAGAGTGTTTGGCAAATACGCTGTCTATGTATAATTCCAAATGTTTTATTACTGAAAGTAGGATTTACTTAGAGGTGAGGCACAGTAAGACGAATTAGCGTTGCCAAGTCCGCGAAGTCACTGGCTGCTTGTCTAAACCAGGCAGTGTGGGATAACGCGGTTGGGTCCACAGATAACTATGGTTCAGGATCACTCTCTCAGACACAGATTGACTGATAATTTGTTCATTACTTCTTTGCTCTGTACTTTCCTATTTAGTCATAAAACTCTACACAAATTTTATATTATTCACGTTTCTTTGTCGCCCCCATCTGTTACCAACTACTTGATGTTCAGTTATACAGTGAGGCAATTTTAATCACAATCTAATGGTATTTTTTGTCTATCCACAGAAATTTTCTGCTTCGAAGAGTTTAAAAGTCACTTAATTGTATACTTCGGTGCCTGTCAAACTATCATTCAACTTATTGAAAGCGTAGAAACTAAATCAACCTTTCCAGAATTTTTAATTCACCCTAATAGTTTTAGGAGAAGTGACAGAATGAAATCCATTGAATAAACCTACTGAATGCCTAGGTCGAATTATACTACGAATGTGAATTTTGGTCAGGGAGCGTTCACCCTTTTTAATATGATGTCACGTTTTCCAGCTTTCTTGAGTATAGCAGACGGACAAACAGAAAAACATAACAAAATAGAATCTAGAAAGTTGGTACATCACTACTAATTCTCACATCACAAGACATCAAGTGGGCAACAATCAAAAACATACAGAAAGGATACTAAGACAAACATGAATATAAGAGTAGGAAAAATAACTACCTGAAGACTGACACAAACAATACGGAAACGTTTGAAGATCATAGAAACAAAATATATCTGTAACGTTTATTGAATTTGAACATGTCAAGGAATAGTCAGACAAGCATTCTACATTTCAACTCTATTCATCTAAAAAGGGATACTGAGTTCAAAATTAAGGGAAGCAACGCTTCAGGTTGAAATACAATTTTCCAAGAATTGATTTATCAGGATTTGATTTATTTTTTTGAGTTGGCCCATGGATGGATATCAGTTAGAGAACCACTGAAAACCAGGGAGTACTGGACAGCCAGCCAGCTATTTCATTCTAGTTTGTGGATCATCGGCAGTACGCCCCTACTAGGGTTCGAACCTCGGAACTCCGCTAACAAGGCAAGCTTGTATACCATTCAGCCACTGGGATCCGATACAATGGCCCATGAGGTCCATCCAATCAGGAGTGAGGATGGATTTCCTGCTGATGACATTGGTCAGTCACGATATGAATCACGAATTAGTAGAAGTTAAAATTAATGGGCCATTGAATCGGGTCCCGGTGGCTTAATGGTATACCAGCTCGCCTTGTAACCGGAAGGTCTTGACTCGAACCCTTGAGGTGGGCGCGTAATGCCGATGAGTCCGAAACTAGGATGAAGTAGCTTTCCAGTACTCCCTGGTTTTCAGTGTTTCTCTAACTGATATCAATCTATAATCTAACTTGAGATACAAATGTTGAGAAACACCATTTCTATGCATAAATGCTTTCGAAAGTGTCACAATAAAATGATTTTCAGCAGACAGAACATCGGAAGAAGTTAGTGTTCTTTAACATGTTTTCCTATTTATTATTATTATTCCCTTGGGTTCCTAGTGGAACGTAGGGCTTCAACCGCACGCCTCCACTTGCTTCTGTCTTCTGCTGTACTTTTCACTTGCATCCAAGTTAGTCCATGCTGTTTCAACTCCTCTTCACACGATCTCCTCCATGTCACCCTTCGACGTCCCACTCGCCGCTTCCCTTTCGGGTTCCACTTGAGCACTGGCCTGAAGCGCGATGTCACCCAACGGCCTCCTCAGCGAGTGTCCAATCCATCTCCACTTTCTCCTGCATATTTGTTGAGCGATTGGTTCTTGTTTTGTTTGTTCCCATAGTCTCTTGTTGGTGATTCTTTCCGGCCATCTGATCTTGAGTATAGAACGGAGACAGTTGTTGATAAAGGTCTACAACCTGTTGGTTTTCCGATTTGACTAAAGTTAAACCTTTTTTTATCCTTCACGTTCCATAGTGGAACATAGGGCTTCAAGCTAGTGGCTTGAAGTTTTCTGTAGCAGTGTTTATTTTACAGGATGGGGTTGATAGCCTCATGCCCAACCTTTCCTCTTCACCAGCATTATTTCTGGTTTAGCGAGGTAAAGGAGTGCCTCGGCTGGGGTTCGAACCCCGGACCATGTGCATGGTCGGCAAGCGTCCTAACCGCTATGCCACCGACGCACAAAGTTAAACCTATTGTGATAATATTACAGGAACAGTACTATCTGTAGTTTAAATGACATTATAAAGCTGTACTTACTGTATATATGCATCACTAGTCTTTATCTCCTATAAAGTTAACAATACAATTGATGTTTATAATTATCAGCATAATTTCTTAATGTGTTTACATTCACATTTTAGGGTATAGCATGTCAAATTGGTTTCGCTTTTTCATTAATCAATACTCGATACTTATTCACTTCCATGTTGAAATATGCCTTCGACTGGATTTCTGAACGATTGGTGAATATTGATCAAATAGTATTTTATCATCAACATTTCTCTATAGATGAGAATAATATTAGTGATACCAGTGTACGCATGGATTCAATGAATGAAAGTGTTCATCGGCAGATGTTGTATAGACTTGTGTCGAAATACGGTATGCAAAAGGCAGTAATTCATACTGATCCAAAAGTTATTAATAGAAAAGATAATTATCTATAGTAAGTTATGCAATAATATAATTATTACCATTATTTAATTATTGTAAATATGTTGATCGAATTAACTCAAATCGTCCTATCATAGTGGGTGAAGTGATATATTAAGGTGAGCAATATTGAGGTTAGCCTTCGAGTGCTAGGTCAGGAGGGGAAATCAATCGACGAAACGGTGAAATTACTTCGACTGAGATGGTTAGGACGTGTGCTACGTATGCCTAGTCATCGCCTTCCTCGACAATGGGCAATGTTAGCTGATATAGGGCCAGGCTAGAAAAGAGCTAGTGGCGGTCAAACGAAAACATGGCACCAGTCAATGAAACCTACAACAGTTAGTCTAAGCCACGTAGGAAGGTGTAAACTTTCTGGTTGGGGTCCTCGGGACGGTAAAAACCAATGGTTGGAAACAATTGATGACATGGCTCAAAATCGTTCTCAGTGGCTGGTGCAGATGCATCCACTCCTTGTGACTTATGATTTCCAATGAAACTGTTTTGTTCTCCGTTATTACTATTTCTTTGTCTCACACCTCTGTTTACTGACTATATTATGCATTTCTCCTACTTTCTTCTCTTGCTTTGTGTGGTACAAAGAGGGAGTGTGGCGACTTGAACTGCCGCACATATGTGCAAAGTTCTATGTCGAAAACCGACCGACCGTCCTATCAAAGTGTTGTAAAAGCAGTACACAATATCTTTCGACTTGTGCACTATGACCAGTTTTGCAGCTGAATTCGTAATTTACACAATTCAAATTGATTAATTCACTATACAGTTTCCTTTGGAAACTGAAAATATTCAGATCGCAATGTAGGACCTGTTCGAAGTCATAAATGGTAATCAAGAAGCCAAGCGCACATGTACTCAACAGTATATACTTCTTTTTGATTGACATGTGTAGTTGGACACCTTTCCTACCAGCCAGCAGTACTTGCTAGCCAGATCGAAGTGGCCCAAACATGGGATAGTCATTCCGCTTGTTTGAGGCTGAGCTCATCAACTCAGAGAGACAAACCAGTTGAAACCATCTACATTCTGGCTAGCTACTTCAGTGAACTGGTAATAAGTCAAATTGCGAAACTGATTTATTAAATATATATATATATTGCTATAATGTCTAGAAATAGGATTTGACACATGACCGTCTCTTAAAAGCACTAGCTATTGCTTAGTTTTATACTCGAATATTTGCTCAATATTACACCAAATTTAAAGTATGATTAGTTCTATTTTTCATTCAATAAAAAACAACCTAATGATGTATAGGTGTAAATGTTTGAGATCAGTTAATGTATAATGAAGTGTCTCAGGAAACTGCCACTCCTGTTAGACAAAACAAGGAATCCACATACTCTTAAATGTGTTTCAGTAGGTCCCCCTTTTGTCATACTCTGTAATAAGAACTTGGGAACAACTAGAGTAATGTGTTTATGCTTAAAACACTTGAATATACCAATATCTCAATAAAAGCCTGATTTTCCTTACAAAAATACAAACTAATAGTCAGAAATGTTTCTTTATTCGACCTTAGTTTTTTTTATTATTCCGTTACGTTTTTTTATTGAATTCTAAATAAATTAATTAACCTCTGATCATCGATAACAGAAAAAATATCCCTGAAGTCCAAATATCATAAGCTTTTAGAATAAGATTTATTCATATTAGTTTGTTTATTAGATATCTAACACTGTAGCGTAAAAAGGAAAGAAGATGGGGAGTTAAACACTAGTGTTTACAGGAAACACACACATTGAAACAGATACTTGGATTTCAGTTCATCTTACCCACCCTATGTCAGTAAAAGTAGGATTGGTGAAATGTTTAAGCAACATAACACAAAAACTAAACAGTACCAATGAAAATGTAAGACAGGAAGTGAGGCATATAAGAGAAGATTTCAGACTTAATAATTACCCTGATAGATTAGTCAGAAAGTATGCAAGGAAATGTAAAAATAAAATAAATAATAATAGTAGTGATAGTGATAATAACAATAATGACGACATACACGTCAAACATGCTCAGGATAATGACAACAACAACAATAAGGAATCTAAATCATCAGTAGTGATTGCATACAAAGAAGGACATCGGAAACCTTACGCAGAATTCTTAACAACGCTGGCATGAATAGAAGTAGCATTCAAACACACAAATTCAATTAAAAGCAAGCTTTGTGGATTAAAGGATCCCGTGGAGCCGATAAAACAAAATAATTTAATTTCTCTAATACCTTGCAATGATTGTCAGGTCAAATACATAGGTCAAAGTACTAGAACAGATACAGTTGGACTAGCCGAGCATAAAAACCTAGCGAAATCTAGACTAGTTGACCAAAATAAGATAAGAAATCTGGAGAATAGTTCATCTATTCCACTCCCTACATGCAATTACACACAGGCATACAATGGGATGAGATAAGGTGACAGCTTTAAAATCTCATGTTGTGGCAGGGTGGAGGGGAGCTTTATTTATCGAATCAACTGCAAACATGTGTAATAGGAATGATTCAAAACCTGTCCCAGATATCTGGAATAGGCGTCATCTGGTATTGTGTCAGGAATGTTCAAACCTGACATCAAACAGACATCAACGAGAGAAATCTCAAGGAAGTCATCCCCTTTACTAACTTATCAGGTCAGCACCATTTCAAATACAGGCAGTGATACGGATGAGGATATCAAGACCAGTCAGGGTCAGATTGGGAGGTCAAAACAGGGGCTCATTACTCTGAAATCAATGTGAAAATAAGAGCACTCAACAGAGCCAAAAGTATCCGAATTTTCAAATCTAATTGCAAATCAGTGCATCTATATAGTTCAGAGACTTGGAAGGCGCCTGATCAAAAGCAGATCTCTATCAACAGTAAACAACTCCACTCTATAATAAAATTCAGATGACTGTCCGGAAAGGATAAGTGAAATGAAACGCTGGTAGCTAACCAGTCAATAACCCATCTGTCTACAAATTGAGAGAAGTAAATGGAGGAGATCACCAATTGATGTCACGCGTTAGACCGGACTTTGAAAGAAACCCAAGTGGAAATCGATGAAATGCGTATCTCCAGGTGATATGGAGGAGACCATCTGAAGAGGAAATCAAAACTTGTGGGTAGTCATGAAGCCAGTTGAAAGTGATGTCAGGGAATCTAGCAGAATGGAAATGTGCTGATGAAGCCATATGTTTTACTCGGAACGCAACCTATTTAAGATAGAGTAACATTAATATTTTATGTCTGATAAACCTTCGTTACAATAATTAACTGACACCTATGACCTAACTTTGAATCAGCTTATGATATGGAACAACTGCTGGTAACTCATGAATCCTGTTATATCATGCAATTTCTGAATACACTTATGACAGTCGTTAGTGGGTGTATAGTATCTTCTTTGGAATACTACCTTAAACTACCGACTACTTCAGTTGTAATTGAGTTTTTCTTACCTTTTTCCGCTTAACACCTTTGGGTCTGTTTTCAGTTTTACTTTGCAGACTATCATTTAGCAGATATCTTCCTGTATACTTAGGCGATGTCCAGTCTTGACAAGTTCACAGAAATAGTTACATACTAAGCTTATATGGATTTCTTGGATCTAAATTTTTTTAAGACGGTATATATCTAAATGATAGTAAGACATTGTTATGATATTTAATTATTATTGTTTTTCCCTTGGGTTCTGAGTGGAACATAAGGCTTCAACAACATATCTCCACTTTCTTCTATTTTCTGTTGTCCTCTTAATCTGGGTCCACGATTGCCCATAATCTATGATCTCCTCCATGTTATCCTCGTGGTACCGGCCCACTCCTCGCTTCCCATTTGGATTCCACTCCAGTGATGGCCTGCATTAAGCACAATATCATTTCATGGTCTTCTCAGAGTATGCTCAATCCAATTCCATTTTCTCCTCCCACATATTTGTTGAGCGATCAGCTGTTTCTTGTTGGTTGGTTGTAGCAAATTCTTTTTGGCTGGCCATTTGATCTCCAGTATATAGCCAGTCAAGGCAGAAATTGATAAAAGTCTGTAACTTGTTAAAAATGTTTTTAGTGATGCGCCAAGTTTTTGACCCAAATAGAAGTGCTAACTTGATTTACATTTATGTTGAAAATCCAAATCCTGTTCTTTGTGCTAAGTTAGTGCAGAAGATTTCCAAGTTGGTTTCAGGCTGATGAAGGCGTGTCATGGCTTTCCGATTCTGACTCTGACATTTTCACACTTGTTCCGCCTGTGGTTGAAACGATGCTTCCTGGCCAAATAAGTGAAGGAGGTAACTTCTGTTAAACCTCTCCTGTTGATGGTGACTGGTGCTGGTTGTTGTACGACATTTAATAACATCTCTAAAAACATTTCTGTGACTTATTTCATAGCCATTTTATTAGTAGTAGTCATCCGATTTGAAATATGACTAGATTGTTTAACACCGAAATCCATTAGCACAAGTGATACTCTTTATCTTTTTAACCAAAGTTGTTTTGCCAACGTTAACTTTTGATATTTTTTTTTAAAGTAAAACATTTCGGAAAAGAGTTAGGCAGAGTTGGTATGCTGATGAAATCTGGGTAAATTTTATAGGTTTACTAGCTACTATATGTAAAAACAATGACACCACAGATATTCAAATTTAAATTTTAAAAACAATCCTTGTACATACAAATCCTGAATGTCTTGAATACTTATAAAACAGAACTTGCTCGCCTGATTGTAGTCAGCATTACTGTCGATTCCTAAATGTTATTCGGACTCGATCGATTAACTTAATATCATCATAGTAGGTTTATTGACTTTGTATTCGATTGGTAAATGTTTGAATCTCAGTGAAAAAAGATGTGATTTCCCAGACCCCTATAAATATCCCTTGCTAATCAGTGTGTACAAGTGGAAGACGTCAGTCAGACTGGCACTTTCAACATACTGATCATCACCGTTATTCGAATATTAAACGATAAACTTCAAATAATCTCTACAAACAAGTAAACTGAAATCAACTAAAAAGCTGG